GCTACAGTCCTTGAGCCATCCATTAGCAGTTTTTGTGATGCTGAATGATGTACTATCCTGCTGATGGAGGTCAGTAGCATCAGGAAGATGTCTGCTGTTTGCTACAAAGTTAATTTAGGTCACACTCATCAAGGTAACAATATGTGAAATTAAGATTTTTATGTATGTTGTAATGACATGGCTCAATTTTTTTTGTTCGGGTTAAATGGTCACATATATTTATTTTTGTATTAACTGAGCATTGTATCAACAAATAACAGTAAATCATAACAATTAATGTTTGATAACTGCAATGTTGGCATGCAGTTAGTACATTGTATAGGGAGTAGCTGGTTATAATGGCCCTAGGGCATGGTAGAAAATCCCCCCCCACCTAAAAAAGATTTTTCCTATATTGTAGGGCTTCTTAATGTTGCATTCAGCCTAATCACATCAGGTAGTTGCTGCATTACTCTTTCTAAATCTGGACTTATGGTACAGAAAAGTACAAATGGGACAAAAGCTCTACATTAACAATAAGAATGCCTAAATAAAACACTAAACTTTGCCTTAATATGTGCTTATACTGATAAACATTTTAAAAAGGAGGAAGAGAGGATCATAATGCACTATAGCTTGATCGTAACAAAATGGAATCTAAATTTTCAGTAAAACCCATTAAAATACACGAGAATGCCAGCAAAACGTCTGTGGGCACAAACATCTTTAACGAAATGTGCAGTTGGCTTTGTTGTGCAGGACAGACGGATGGAGGGAGGTACGTGGAACCTTCATGTCCCATCAGCTAGTTTACTGTCCACCTCCTCTCAGTATGTCACAGAAACTTGACACACTCAGCCTGACGTAGTCCTGGGAAGCAACTGCTGTTTGTAGATACCAGCCAGAGCTTTGGAAGCACTGTGGATCATCTGGCGTTGGGTTAGGCCTGTCATGGCCTGGTGCCAGTCTGTTCTGTTGATGTTGGGAAGGTTTTGCTCCAGGACTTCACCCACAGTAACACTCAGACCTGACCAGCGCAGGCTGTAGTCAGGAGGGGTCATGGACTGAGCCTATATGGGGGAAGGTTACAAAAACACTGTGAGTGTAGCAGGTTTCTACATGGGAGATTTTGAATAAAATAATTCTACGGTACAACCTGACATTTTTTGTTCAAAGACAAAAAGTCAAGAGAAAACTACAGCCTGAAAAAGGTGGGAAACTTTATCTTCTACCAGCATGATAGGATATTATATTGCCAAAAGTATTTGCTCACCCTTCCAAATCCTTAAATTCAGGGATTCCAATCACTTTAAGGTGTGTAAAAATCAAACACTTAGGCGTGAAGATTGCTTTTAAAAACATTTGTCAAAGAATGGGTCCCTCTTATTTGCTCAGGAGTTGGGTTTAGTTCTAGCATCCCAAGATATGTTTGCCAATTTCATGACCTTCCCACTAACACATTACCTGCCTTGTGGAAAGCCTTCCCAGAAGAATTACAGCTGTAAAGGTTGGGTGGACAACATATTCAAGTCTGTGGATAAATAATGGGATGCTACTCAAATTTGTTTGAGTGTAAAACCAGGCAAGCCAATACTTTTGTCGATATAGTGTACAGTGTTCCCTCATTTATCGCGGGTGTTACGTTCAAAAAATAGGTGAAATCCGCAAAGTAGCCAACTTTATTTTTTACAATTATTATAGATGTTTTAAGGCTGTAAAACCCCTCACTACAGACTTTACACACTTTTCTCAGACAGGCATCGACATTTTCACATGTTTCTCTCTTGTTCAAGTACACTCTCAAAGTTCATATCTTCGAAGAAAAATAAGTCCAGTATTATCGAATGAAACCAAAGATCAAACCCTGTTTTCAGGTCCAGAACATGGTCCAGAGCAGCTGTGAGAGAATTCAACATTAATGAATCGATGGTACGGAAGTAGAGGAAGCAAGAAGAACGAGTTCAGTAAAGTTTAACTTATCGGACTGTTTGGTTTCACTTAATGCTCCTTATAATCCTTTGACGTCGACACTTTTGTGTTTGTTGTCTTCTGCTAGCGAAGATTTATGTAAATTTGACAAGCTGGACACATTCTGTACTGTACAGGAGACACGGCACGATGAAATTGATTGAAAATGGTCTACAGTTGATCAGGATGCAGAACACAACGCACTGTAACAAAAATAAAAAAAAACTTTGCAAAATTGCACCCCCCCAAAAAACAGCGAGGCCGTGAAAACTGAACCGCGATA